CCCCAAAATGAATAAAAAGATCCTGCATTTCCCTGCCCACAATAAATCCCCTTTTGGCTGTTTGTGCTCCCAGGCTGATTGGATGGCGTCATCACCAGAACGCTGACATGTACAATGTACATGTACATCGCGCACAGCACATGCAGTATCGCACGCTTGCAATAGACCACATCGTGTTTGATGTTGCTCGGCCCACAGGCAAACACTGTCTCAGGTCAAGGTAGAAATTAAAAGACACAGTCCTACCGTGTATTTCTTGAATGATATATCCGAAAAAGTCAAAGAGCAGGGAAAACATTGAAGCATTTTGGCCTACTTATATGCCTTCAGACCAGTCTCAGGAGGTTTGTGCAGGGGGTTTCAAGCAATGTCCACCTTCGTGTAGGCCTATCCAGAGCTCTTCATCAGTTTTTTGCAGTTTGGTTTCAGCAAGAAAGTTTACGAAGCTCCCAGATGTCATGAAGAGTTTTAGTGGCATCCTTCAATATTTATAAGTCCATGTAAAAAAATTAGTTGGTTAACATCCCCGCCCGCCTGCCCATTTTTTTTTTAGACACACCTGTGAAACTGAGGTGAAAAGAACGTGACATGTCACAGTAGCCATCATACACAAAAAATCTTTGTGATATGTGCAGATCGCACCGCTTATTATTTTAATACAAACGTTTTCATGAAAATGCCGTCAAAAAACAAGGGAGCGCACAGTTAGTTCACCGTAGCTGGCTATCAAGAAACCTCACCAATTATTTCACGTTGGTCTAACATTCGTTGTACACATACAGTACATGTATTTCGCCTTCATGTTGACCGTTCCTTTGGAAACAACCTCGTCGCCTTGGTTCCTTCAGTCAATACTATGCTTTACAGTTCTCAGGATCAATCCAAGGGACGTAGCAGGACAGAGCGTGGCCATGTCCGACACAAGGGCTATGTGCTAAAGCTAGGACTACTTTCCACAGTGTGTCAATCGGAAGCAGCCATAGCTCTAGTACGCAGCCCTTCTTATTACTGGGCCGAGTGCACCATGCATTGCACATGCGCTTTGTCACGGTGCACGTGGACATGGAGGACGATCGCGATCGTTAAATTTTTCCAGCATTTTATTTTATTATTTTCATTAATAAACTGCGTCATTTGAAACTAAATCTCTCAAATGAGAAAGGAATAGGGAAAAAAAAACCTCCCGCCCACCCCTGAAAAATGAAAGGCCATGGATGCTAAAACAATTGACTTTTTTATATGGCCTAATGGAGGAATTAGCCTACAAATACAAAACATCAAATCATGAAAAACGCATGAATTTTTGTTTCGAATAGCTAACAAAACAAAACATCCCCCCCCAAAAAAGGTAGAAAATCACACTGATACAACATTCATTCTGCAGACCACATTGATTGTCAAAGTTCAGTGCTGCTATCCCTAGGGGCTAGAACTTTGGAGATTGTATACTTGGGGACCCCAGTTTTTTGACATTTTAATCTTGCAACACTGGTAAGTCCCCCCAAAATACAAAGGCAACACGCTCTTTATTGCACTAATTGTACTTTTTGGAAATTACAAATTGTAAATTGTGAGAAAATGTAGTCCAAGCATGTGTGTTTTATTCCTCCATGGTCCGAGTAACTTGGACCCTACAAATCACCTTTTTTAACATTTGGATAGGGCCTATGGTCAGGCTAGAGAAAATGTGACTTTCTTAATGATAAACTATCTACATGATGTAGCCATACAAACTTTGAATCCACTAATGTGTCATGTGTTACAAACTACAAATCAACACAGTTTCCCCTCGTAATTTCCCTCAAAACTCAAAACCCTGCCCTTTTTAACAACATTAACGCTACACTTACTGAGAATGATTTCACAGTCATCTCCCAAGGTGAATTCAAAAGCTGACACACCTAGCTCTCCATCTATTATTCTAAGGACAAGGTCCCAAAATTTACAATCCATAGAACTTAAACTTTGCGGTTCGACTTCCCACGGCCGTCCGCCGCGCGGTCGCAGATGATGAACCAATACTGCATGCCTGTGGCCTGTCCTTGCCTCTGGGCAGGGGTGGGTACGGCAGGCCTTGCTTTTTAAGTTTTAGCCCGTAATTGAATCTAGAATCTTACCATGTTGACATCCAACACGCCAGTTTAGTAGTAATAAACGAATGGCCCAAATCGAAACCAAAATTTCAAGGACTACTACAAATTGGAAATCGCCCAAAGTATTACATCCAAGTATTGATGGGGTGAGTGATCCATACACGTAAAGGGGGTTTCATACTTTAAAGAAGACATTTTCGCTGATAAGCAACGTAAGTGCGACTTGATTCAAGTCTAACATGTCTAAACTCCAAGTTACTCAGACTAACCATGCTAACGTTAGGCCAATTAAGCTCGCGCTAGCCTGCAAGGCTAGAGACAAAATTTGCCTTTTATTTTTCTTATCAATGGATTATAAAGTCATGTGCAACTTACTGTGCTCTGATAATCTGACAATTAGCATGCGAAGTCTGTCATCCACTATTTTGTCTGGATTACCGCTGCCCACGAAGTTAGCCAAGCTTGCAAAAGTTGCAGCCAAATTAAAAGCTGCGTACGTGTACAGTACATGTACGTGTCTTTTTTTTCTAGGGTCATGGGGTCGGCACCCCTGGCAGAGACGACATATGCTGAATTCCTTAAGAAGTCAGGGAACCAGAGAGATCAGATTTCAGCGGCTAGCATTTGCTCAATTTCGTCTCCGTCTCAGGCTGTGTATCCAAAATCAATCCCCGATTGTGGCCCTGAAGCATGCAAGTTAAATTGAAATATTGGAACCTTTTTCTCTTTGCATCTTATTTTATGTTTCTGTGGCACTAGTGGGTTTGCTTTGGGGATATCAGTCTCAAAGTTTGGTGGTGTAAAAAAATTATGCCTGAGACCACGAGTTAGAGTCCTGGAAGCATGGACATTTAAAAGCGCTCGCGCGGCTAGCTGGCACTGCATGCAGAGCGAGCGCGCGACTAGCACGGTACGACTTGACAAGTGCAGATAGGGAGTAGCGCCGCCAACGCTGGAATGTACTAGATTGGGTCACTGACTCATAATCNCTGAGTTCAAGAAACAGTTACGACAGTTGTTCCAGGATTTGGAAATACTTTGCCATGCAACAAAATGCATGGGGGCTGCGCATCCCATCTCCCAACATGTTCTTGATGACAAGACATCATACTGTGGCAAGGGGTGATTCTATCTCCTAAACAATTTCAGAATACATGTACATGTACATCCACTAAGTTCAAAAAACAAACACAAACAAACAGAGATCTGTTTCAAAAACTACCACTTCTTTACAGGAAAAACCTTTTGCGGTTACCCCTCAAGTCCCATCAGTTAGACACAGCTTGATCTCCGTATTATTTCAGTTTAACACTAAGCTGCATTGGAAACACTAGTGTGATGATGATTTTCATTTGCAGATTACGTCCCAACCTGATTCTGTGGGTTTTTCCTGGGAGTAATATTTGGGGGTTTTTCCTCCCGCTTCTTAAACTGAAAATACCTTCCTTGTTGTCTCTCCAGGTTTCTTAGGCCTTCAGGGTGCTGTGCCTAGGGACTTTTGAGGAACCCTTGGTTTCCTTTCCACAAAGAATAAAATCCATAAAATGTGTATGGTGGGTTTGCATGGCTGCCATCTTGTAGGCCGGTGCTTTTGTTCCACAGGGTGTACAAAAATGAGGAACAAAAGAAATGCCCTGCAAGATGGCTACTATGCAAAACCTGTATACCAGCATACTTTTAATTTCAAGAGTGTGGATGTCATTCCAATGTCGGCGCTGACAAACACATTGCATTCCGTCTCATTCAGATCACAAGTGATGAATGCCCGGCTGAAAAGTCTCAGATGAATTCCCTCGGAATTCTGGCTAAAACTTGCATAACCCATCTGTTGAAGGAGAAAGTGGAGAACGGTACAAAAGCAAAGTGACTGAGAGACTGAAGGCTAAAAGTCTGCCACAAAAAGATGAAAGCAAAACATTTCCTCAGTGGCACCACAGAAAGACATATCATGGTTATCATGAACCGTCATGTCATGTGTACAAAGTCAAAAGATGTTAAATCACTTTATGGTAAACTAAGATAATTGCATACATGTACGTCAGTACGTGATGCAGCTGACGATTTGTAAGACTAGAAAACAAACATGAATATGAATCAATGTCATTTTCTATTTCTTCTGTACTTTCCTGGGTATTTTTGGTGCAAAGCCTCACTAAATCCTAGAAAATCCACCATCCTGTAGATTCTTAGACTATGACACAGCATTAGTCTCAAATCACCTGTAATTAATGGTTACCATGCTCTACCAGCCTAAATCCTTCAAAATCCCCCAAATCATCTTGAATAATTTAAACAACATTGAAGGGCTAGGATTAGTATATCTGAAATACATGTAATTCCATAGGGCATTGTATAAAATGAATGTCCCTCGTTAAATGCTCCAGACCAACCCATCTAGCCAAGGAGATTGGCTGTTTATGTACATGTAAGTTTGTGTATTAAAACCCTTACCACCTGGGCCCTTTTTCAGAGGATACACCCTCCATCCTTC